ACTAGTCCTCTGTGACTAGTTAACAATTACTCCGTAACTAGTTGCAATTACTTCAAGCAGTTAATGACAGCTAGTTAATGACTCATTACCAGATACAGAGAGGCCTGTGGCTGTGTCTCACCCACCACAGGTGGGGCATTTCGGGTAAGGCTGGATCTGGAGTGCGTAGTGCTGGGATCAAGGGCTTGTGATCTCTAAATCAGGCCGCGGATTGGCTTCTAATCCCCAGAAGCGTAGCTAGAACACAACAGGGGCAGAAAGAAGCTGCTAAGGCCCCTTGCTTGCTTTTGCTGCCTTCTGCCCCCATGAACTGTGCCCCTCTGTGATGCCAGCGACTGTGGATTGAAGCCTCTGGAAACTGTGAGCTAAATGAACCTTTCCCCTTTCACTTTGGGTGGCAGGTACTTTGTCTCAGCAGTGAGAGAAAAGTAAGACAGAAACAGAGAGAAACAGATGCACACAGTGACAAACACAGTGACACACAGAGAAATATCCAGAGACGCAGATACACACACTGGCGCATACGCACACGCACACACACACACACACACACACACACACACACACACACAGCCCCAGCCACAGCCACAGCATTCCCAGATGGTCCGGCTCAGTGGGGGAATGCCTGACTTCCTGTTTTTTCCTGGGACTGTCTGACTTCCTCTTCTGTTTTCTGTCAGCAATTCTACACCACAACTTCCTCTCCATAAAATCGGTGCCTTTGGGTCACTGACTCTGATGCATGTTGAACACGGTCATCCGGAACACTTTTGATTTGGGTCAGAGTCCAGTCAGGGACTGGGCTGGGGCTCAGTGGCAGGGCACTGGCCCACCTGGCATGTGAGGGCCCTGGAGTCCCCAGTTTTGGGGACACCGCTCAAGGGCTTGGCACCTCTGGGTGGGGAGTGAATGTTACTGTAAACTTTAGTTTACAATGAGGCCACAATTTTTTATTTATTTATGCATCTTTGCAGTACTGGAGATTGAACTCAGTATCTTCCCACCAAGCTGCATCCCCTGCCCTTTAAAAAAATTTTATTTTTTGAGACAGAGTCTCACTAAGTCACTACTAACTTGCCCAAGCTGGGCTCGAACTTGGGGTCCTCCTGCCTCAGCCTCCCAGAGTGCTAGGATCACAGGCCTGTGCCAAGTCTGGCTTGGTTCATTCATTTTAACAAATGTTACCACAGTAACACAAAACATCCATAACAGGGGGCCCCGCAGAAGGAAGGTAAGTGGGAGCTGTCCGTACTGTCTGGTTAGTTTTTTGTGGATCTGAAGCTGTTCTGAAAAACACAGTCAATTTTTTAAAAATGATTGACAGAGTGAGAAGAACCCTGAACGGGCAGCCGACCCCTGGTGGACGGTCACTGCTTTTTGAGGTGGCCCTGGTCAGGCCCTCTACCCCCACCCCACCGGGCTTTCTTCTTTTTTTCTTTATTTATTGGTACCAGGGATCAAACTTGGGACCCTGCGCTTGCTAGGCAGACGGAACCACTGAGCTAAATAAATCCCCCACCCTTTCTTCGACTTTGGCAAGATCACCTCTAAACATCCTCCTCTGGCTGTGACTCTTCTGACTTGAATATAACAATGCCTCAATGCCTCAGCAGGAGAAATGAAAGAAAGTCTTTGTTTCTCAGAGAAACGATCAATGAATCAAGTCTGGGGTTTCACTACAGGAAACCCAGGAGTACAGAATATGTTAAAAAAAAAAATCCCGTCCCTGGTCACCTTGACCAGCTAATTAACACGTCTTCCAAATACCATGCGGGCGGCGGCAGCAACCCAAACATTCAACAGCCCTTGGTCCCGCTAGCCGGCGGGGGTTTTCTTCCCTTTCAGGCCTGGCCTAGAAACTGATATTTTATTCATGAAAATCGAGGCCCTGGGAGGCCTCCGCATAAACAGGATGTAAATATTTGCGGGCAATGGGGAGCGGTGATGTTTGAGCAGGGGCTGTCCGGAGCGGGACATCCAGGACAAAGCTCACGGGGGACCCGCCCACCTCCATCCCAGTGCTGGGGGCCTGGTGGGCAGAAGTCCGGCTTGGAGAGCGGGGTTGGGACTTGGAGTCCTTGAATAGAGTCAAAAGATGTCTCTTAACTTTCCACGAATTTCATTCACCTGATCCACCGGGCTTCTTCGTTCCCTCCTCCCCAGATTCAAACCGGGGATTGGTTTTCTGAGAGGCTGAGGCAGGAGGGTCGCAGAGTTTGAGGCAAGCATGGACAATTTGTGGAGACCTTGCCTTGCAATAAAATATGAAAAGGGCTAGGGATGGAGCTCAGTGCAAAGGCCCTGGGTTCAATCTCCAGTACCAGGGGGGAAAAAGTGTCTTTGACGCTTCTCTGGACCCTCGCCTGCTTTTGTGGTCCTGGGCATCGCCTTTCCTGGGGTCCTCTCTGTCTCCTTGGCTCAGCCTGGACCGGCCCTGCCCTGTGTGCACGCTGGTCTCCGTCCCCCTCCACGTCCTCCCCTGGGCTTCCCTCATTCTGGAACCCAAGGTTGCTCTGCCTCCAGGGCCTGGCCTAGGATTCACCGAGGGCTACCAGATTTCCAGTTTTAACAGTGTTCCATCCTCCTGCCTCAGCCTCCCAGGGTGCTGAAGTTACAGGCCCTCCCTGATCATTCCAGGGGTTTTTTGTTTGTTTGCTTTTTTCACTTTGAGACAAGGTGTGGCTCTGCAAGCTCAGGCCAGCGAGCTCCACTCCTCACCTAACAGAGTCCCTGGGGCATCGCAAAGCCAGGATCATCAAAGTGGCACCTAGCGCTCACCTTTTGGATGGAGGAAGGGGACACAGCCCTCCTCGGAGCTTCTAGAAGACTGAGGTGAGCATGGGCAGTAGGTGTGGCCCGGGAGCCCCACTCTAGCAGAGGTCAGGATTTGGGAGAACATAACGTTCACCCACACTGGAGCCGCGCGGCAGGCCAGACAGGCAGTGACCCGCGACCCCGCTGCTCCAGAGGGAGGTCACCCAGCCCCAGTCTATATGTGTGGACAGGAGAGTTCTTCAGTAAGAACCTTTTAGCTTGCTGGGCATGGTGGCTCGGGCCTGGGATCTCAGCAATCTGGAGGCTGAGGCAGGAGGATCGCCAGGAGTTCGGGGCCAGCCTGGGCTACACAGTGAGTTCAAGGCCACCTGATCTACATAGGGAGACTCAGTCTAAATAAATATATATCTGCTGGGCGTGGTGGCTCAGATGTATAATCTCAACTCCTTGGGAGACTGAGGGAGAAGAATTGCAAGTTTGAGTTCAGCCTGGGCACCGGAACAAGTCTCTTTCTTTCTTTCTTTTTCTTTTTCTTTTTTTTTTTTTTGTACAGGGGATCAAAAGTGGGTGCTTGTACTTGTGAATCAGGTGGTGGAACCACTGAGCTAAATCCCCGGCCCAAGTCTCTTTTAATTTTGAGATAGAGTCTAAGATCCTCATGCTGGCCTGGAAGTTGCAAACTTCCTGCCTCAGCCTCTCAATAGCTGGGATATCAGGTTTGTGCCGCTACAACCAGCAGTGTTTCAAATTTTAATTTGTCCAATATATGAAGATTATATATGCATGTGCCGTAAAAATAATATGAGGTCTGGGGTGTGCTAGAACATTTTCCCAGCATGCATGAGGCCCTGGGAGCAATCCCCAGCAATTCCACCCCCCAAAAAACACCTACCAACCACAAAAGCTGGGTTGACTTCATTCTATCTGTGTGGTGGGTTTTTGTTTTTGTTCTGAGGCAGGGTCTCATTCTGTAGCCCAGGCTGGCGTCGAACTCACAGCGATCCTCCTGCCTCAGCCTCCTGACTGCTGGGATCATAGGCGTGTGCCACACACCAGGCCCCTTTAGGAAGTGTGGAGCTGCTGCTCTGGGTGTACCACCCAGATACAATGGGCAGTGGACAGAGAAAGTGCTGTTTTCACAGAATTGTCACAGGGATGGGGCGACAGAAAAGACGGCAACAAATTCAGATCTTTCTCAATTGTGGGTCAGTACAAGAAAGAAAGAAACAAGTGGGTGGGGAAGAGTGTGGGAGATACGCTGGAGTGCTAAGCCCTCCTTTCAGGCAAAACCAACAGCTCCTCAAGGCCCAGGCTCCCTTTGCCATCCCTTTTTAACATTTTGAAACAGGGTCTCACTAAATTAATTGCCCCGGCTGGGCTCCAAATTTCAATCCTCCTGCCCCAGCCTCCCAGAGTGCTAGGCCCACCATGCCCAGCACGATAATTATAATTACACCTCTGACTGCTGTTTGGCCTGGCTGTTCCCTCCCTCAAGGCAAACAGAGGCTGCGGGCATGGGATCAGTATGTGAAAGGCAGAAGCACGGTTCGGACTGATTTCTAACCAACTTCCGGTTCTGTAATTCTAATCAGAGCAATACTAGGGGACGAATTTCACCCGGAGAGAAACCCTTATGCTGTTAATATAGGAAATACGTTCTTTCATTTCCTGATAAGCTTGTAACATTGGAAAATATGAATTACATGGTAGAAAAACTCTAAATGGCATGGAACACTGTGTGCCCAGAGGAAACAGGTATTTTGAGACAGCATCACCACTTGAAAACGAAAAACAGCTAACACTCATTTAATTCAGCATGAGCCAGGTATGGTGGTTCAGGCCCATTATCCACCTACTTGGGAGGCTGAGGCAGGAGGATTGCAAGTTTGAAGTCAGCCCAGAGAACCTAAATACTCAGGCTGAGGACGTAGCTGGGGGGCAGAGCACTCATTTTTGCACAGATGACGCTATGTCCCTGGCAGCCCTGGGTTTGGGAGGGCAACAGTTCTTCAACACCACACACTGCAGCATCACACAAGAAGTGGGCCACACCGAGGTCAGAGTGGGTCCAGTTGTCATTTTAAGTAAGATTTGAAAATTTTATTGGAAGCCCCTGGTTTGGTTTTCTGCTTCTCCCCCTTCTCACGCCTCTTTCCTCTGCTTTGTCTTCTGTGAGAAGAGTCTGGGAGCTGAGCCTGGGGTGAAGCCAGCATCCTGGAGTTTTCTGGATGTCAGGAGGAATCCTCAGCCTTTTGGAGGAGCCGGCAGCCACACAGTTCCTTGCAGCTGATCCAACTGTTAAGGAAACATGGATCCTTATTGATCACTAAAAACAACAAGTGTTACGGCTTGGATCTAAGGTGTTTCATGTGTCATCCCAGCACTCAGGAGGCTGAGGCAGGAGGATTGCTGCAAATTCAAGGCCAGCCTGGGCTAAATTGTGAGTTCAAGGCTAGCCTGAGCTACAAAGTGAGACTGTCTCCAAAAAAAGGGCTGGGGATTCAGCTCAGTGGTATGGGCACCTGCTTCACAAGCACAAGGGCCCGAGTTCGATCCCTGGTACCAAAAAATAATAGTAATAAAATAAATGTGATTTTTTAAAAAGAGTATCTCACCTGTAGAAACTGATTGGTTCACGGTGAAGCGATACCCAACGGTGTATTCAGCCATTGAATTCAGAGCTGTCCACGCTGCTAGGCAAGGCTTGAGTGGAGGTGGTTGCTGGGGGTGTGGCCTTGTCTCTGGTCCCTCCCGCCTGTGTGCGTGGCTGCCTAGAGGCGAGCCGCTCTCCCCTGCCAGGCCCTTCTACCATCGTGTTCCTGTCTTGGAGGTTCTTACCATGGACTGCATCCTCTGAACTGTGAACCAAAAGAAACCTCTCCTTTAAGTTGCAGGCAACAGGTATTTTGTCCCAACAACAAGGAAGTGACTACAAAATGGGAGCATTGATAGTGCTCGAGGTCTTGTGCTAAGCCCTAGGTAGAAACAGGTCCCAATCCTTGCCTTCAATTCAGATTTGAACACTAAACATCCATTCCCACTCCATCCTGGCTGGGGATGGAACTCAGAGCCTCAAGAGTGCTAGGCAAGTGCTTTCCTAACTCCAATGTTTTACCCTAAAAGTAATTAATTGTACAAGGTAATATGCTAAAGGCAATAAAATAGAAATTTATTTTTAATTTTTTTTCATTAAGAGAATTTTATATAGAGTCTTTTGGCAGCATGTCGGGATGAATCTCGGCCCCACCATTTACAACCTAAAGGACATTGGACAAATTATCCAATCATTTTCAAGTATGCCTCTTCACCTGCCCATGGAGAAAATCAGTGCCCACCTCAGTTCTACACAGTAAAGGAATAACCAATGATGGTCATTATTCATTATTGTGAGGACACTCCAGGTACGAGAGAAAAGCTCAACGCCAGGTGTGGTGGCACATGTTTATCACCCCAGCATTCTGGGAGGCCGAGGCAGAAGGATCCCAAGGTCCAGTCCAGCCTAGGCAACACAGTCTCAAAGTAAAAAAGAAAGGAAGGAAGGAAGGAAGGGCTGGGGTTGTAGTTCAGTGTGAAGGCCCTGGGTTCAGTCCCCAGCGCTGCAAAACAAAACAAAACAAAACACCTACAACACAAAAAACAAACGAAACGATTGGTTCAACAGAAAAACCTTCCCAAAGCACGCTAACTGTGCATATGAAGTTGCTATTTTTCTGAAATGCGCCCTTCGTCAGTCACATCTGTCAGAGGGAGTTTCTTCCTTTGCAAAAAGGGGCGGCGGGGCACAGTCACTGTTGCAGGACGGTGCAAATCCCTGGAAAACCAGCATCGAGTACCAAGCGCTGCAGGCGTCAGGCGCCCGCGCGAAGGCAGCTGGTGCTGGGGACATGCGGGCGGTCGGGGTGGGGGGCCG